AAAATAAGAGGGGGGCAGACGCAGGCAGCTCGAACGATGCTGACGCTGAGGTTTGTGGGATGCAGGCGGCAGGGACGTCGGTGGCCATGGTGGGGGACGGCATCAACGATTCGCCAGCGTTGGTCGCAGCGGACGTGGGGATGGCGATAGGAGCGGGGACGGACATCGCGATCGAGGCGGCGGACATCGTGCTGATGAAGAGCAATCTGGAGGACGTGATCACAGGGATAGACTTGTCACGGAAGTCGTTCTTCAGGATCTGGCTGAACTACGTGTGGGCGTTGGGGTACAATGTGCTGGGCATCCCCATAGCTGCGGGGGCGCTGTTCCCAAGCACGGGGTTCCGGTTGCCTCCGTGGGTGGCGGGTGCAGCCATGGCGGCGTCATCGGTGTCGGTAGTATGTTCGTCGCTGTGGCTGAAACGCTACAAAAGGCCGAAGGTGGTGGAGGAGATAGACACGAGTGTACAGCGGTAGTAGGCGCGGAGCACGTTCCAGTGCCTTCTCACAGTTTTGCGAAGCAGATCAGTTTTGCACAGCGTCTTCGGGGAGCTGTATTTCAGGCGGCGCCCGCTCGTGCCTGGGCTCAGGGGCGGGTGTCGCCTCAAACACAGCGCTCTGGGTGACATGTAAATAGATATATTTTTTTTTCATTTTATAGTATTTGTGTTCACCTTTGATAATTTTAGGGTAGGATTTTTTATTCATTCATTAGTTTATTTTGTTGTGGGCATTTTTATTGATGATTTTATTTTGAATATTTTATGTATCTTAAAATTCTAGTAATTGATACTCAAATCATTATATAATTCGAATTAAATGGGATTCATCTACAGATACTTGTAATTTAATACAATTTTTCTTGTTCAATTTCGATTCTTTTGACTATGTGCATTTACATTGTTATCGCCTAATTTTATGTTTTCTAAAGTGAACAAATCTTACTACATAAGCTACTTTGAAAAGGAAAACAGTTTAAAAATGGTATTGCTTGAGTAAAAATCCAGATATACTTAAAATGTTTCTCTTTATATAACTATTTCAAGAGTCCATTCTATATCACATCAAATCAATTTGAAAACAAATATCATCAAGCTCCACACTCTAAATCCTTAACAACGAAATGGCTTTTTAGCAAATTGTCATTTTAAAAAACATATAAAGAAAACATGTTTAATTTGTTTGTCATACAATTCACACACACACACATACATACATACATACATACATACATACATGTTTGTATGTATCTACATATATATATGAGAAGAGTACACATTTTCTGTTTCCCTATGGACAAGGTTACAGTATTACCTGTTAAGATTCAAAGTGTGAACACACTTGGTACAACCACCTGGCATCTTCTAGCAATGCCATACCATTCTAGGCAAAAATGTTAGCAATTTCAGCAATTTTTTAACACAACCCGCAATACTCGTAATGAAGCTTTAAATGGTGTAGCAAATAAAGAGATCAGAAGTAGGATTTAGAGCTCTTCTCAAAGAGGGCAAAGTTGGACATCCACTTTGAAAACCCCGTCGGCGGTGAACACGATGCTGTCGCAAGCAGTCAAGGTTCGAAGTAGTGTACACGGAGTAAGCTCCGTGTAGATCATCGGAGTTGCGGACAACACGAGCTCCATGGACTACGAGAGGGGTACCATCGGAGGTGGGGGGAGGGGGGGGGTTCCATGATGGAAAAGCGGGGGATTAGGAAACTCATGATACAACTCCAATCATTACTAACAACAAAATAACTTACTTTCTTTGAATTACATAAGATATCTTCAATGTCTTATAATTCCTTCATGTAGACTTAGAATTTATCAAACAGTATATGAACAGTATAGCTTAGAAAGTGCTCTCTCTAATCCTAATCGCTGCCCTTCATTGTTCTTTGTAAGCATATGTTTTGCTTCAAAGAATGACAATAGGTACAAAATTGACACTTTAGTTTTCAACACCTATAACTCCTTCATAAAAACTCCAAATCATACAAAATTTGCATCCAATCCATATCCAAAAACCTAAACTTGCTGATCCTAACCTCCAAAGTTCAAATGACCTTGGAAGAGAAATCATTATCCCTAATAAGGACTTGAGTAGCCTCCTTAAAGTCCATTGGCCATGACATTCAACTAATAGGGATGAAAATCTTTTTTCTTTGCCTTCATTTAACCATACTTTGCTTTCATCCTTTCCAATAAGCCTCCTTATAGTTTAGACTTTCATCTTTAGACTCCAACCTTTTCTTAAGCTTTATACTAAATATATAAATCTTACATAATATAAATACTATAATAAAAATAGTTAAACCTCTAAATAAATTGTTTTCTATCTTTTTGACCTTGCACAATTCATATGCCACATGTTAAAGGCTCATACCAAAGTCTTATTGAAGAACTGTGCCAATAGCAAAGTCG